CCTCCTGGGTTCAGGCAATTCTCCTGCCTCAGCCTCCTGAGTAGCTGGGATTACAGGCACGCACCACCATGCCCAGCTAATTTTTTGTAGTTTTAGTAGAGACAGGGTTTCACTATGTTGACTAGGATGGTCTCGATCTGTTGACCTCGTGATCCACCCGCCTCTGCCTCCCAAAGTGCTGGGATTACAGGCTTGAGCCACCGCGCCCGGCCTCAGACACAATTTTTAAGGAAACAGAAGAGTTAAATGTTTTTCCCCATAAAGCTAAGACCTACACATAATAATACACTATACATACCTATTATCACACTTCCCATCTATCAAGTTTTCGTCTGTGTCCCCCAGCCTAGCTTGGGAGCTGAGCACAGCAATCGTATGAAATATTAATCTTTGTATCACCAGCACTTTAACTGCCTCCAACACAGGTCCCATGTATCTTGACATTAAGAAGTGCTGGAAATACAAAGTGTCTCTATGTTACGGCAAATACAGAAGCTGTGAGGGAATGAAAACTGCCAAAATGCAGAAGTTCAAAGATTTAGAGGAGGACAACACATTTAGTTTTATTTCAATCAAATCACAACACTTTCTTTTCCAACTGCTGCAAAGTGTATCTACAATATTCTATTACAGATCCACTTTAAAAAGGTTTCCTGTGACATTACAGCAAGCCTCTTTTTTCAAACAGAGGAATAATCCCAAATTCTTCCTCAAAAATAACTCCATTCCATTAAATACATAAAAATTACAGTAAGCCAGACACTTAAAAGGACAGCCAAGAAGTCTTCCAACAGTTTATTAGAAAGAATGTAGACATTTAAAAAAATCCCCACTGTCATGAACATAAATTGAGGTTTTCAGCCCTTGTATAAGCTGAATAAAAAAAAAGAAATAAAAAATCCAATAGTGTATTAAACATTTTTCACTCATTTGCCATACTGACAGTGCAAATACAAATCTGGTCTAAATGTACAGACTTTCAAGCAACAATGTACAGCTTTCTTCGTCCTCCATGCTAAGAGATGTAAAAGCTTAAGGGTCAAACAATACCAAATGTATAGGCTTCAAAAACCATCTAAGTTAGGGCATTCTCTAGTTTTAGCTAAGATACACCTGGAACATTGACAAGTGATCACTTACATAGAATAATGTGAAGTACATTTTTTTTTTTTTTTTTTTTTTTGAAAAATAAACTTTAGTGGAACAATCCTGAAGGGTAACGCTAGAGGAAGAGCAAGTTACCACCAGTAAGGTGTCAGCCAATTGTTCCAGCCACTTCTGAATCCATGTTCTATACTCTAGTTTTATTTCCCTAAGCTTCCTATCATGTCAGTATCTATGTTATGAAGAAAAGGAGACTTAGGCGAAATGTTTTTATCATAACTGCTGCATCAATTGCCTAGGACCTCAACAGCCTCATGAAAGTCTGGGAAATGTTCATGCATAAGGTTATTGCCTTAGCTGACTTAAAATTGCCCCATACAATGGTACATATCAACCCTTAGTGAAGCCTTTTAAAAAACAAACAGGTTGAAAAATGGGTTAAAGTAGGCAAATACAGCATCTGCCTTTAGAGCTATCAACTCAGGAATTCTCTCAATTATGAAATCTTGCAGAGAAGTTATTTCTCAAAATCCAGGTGATGACAATATTCCTTACTCCAGATCTGGCATTTCTGAAAGAATTTAAGAAATATTAGTATCAAGTACAAGGGAAGTAATCTACCCATTTTAATGCCTTAAAGGAAAAGCAACCAAAAATCAAAAATATATCGTTTCCCAGTGAATAGGTAGGTGGTCTTGCTATCTCAAGTAATTCACATTTCTGCTTTGGTTATTTATTCAAGGTCATAAAGAAAAAATTACTTTTCTTCCAAAGTTAACATCACTTTTTTGAGTTTGGTTTTTAATGCAAAATATCACTGTGTAAACATACTTTTTATATACACTTACTTTCATCATCACTGTCTTGTGAATCCTGTAAGAGGGAAAATTTAAAAAAGTTACCAAGCTGACCAAATATTCCTTTGCTAACTCAACAGTTTACCTTAAATGCAAGCGCTGTATTTTTGACTAAAGTAGCATGGATAGATAGGTACATCAAGCATAGAAATTTAGTCACTGGACTTAAGACTAGGTTTACCTAAGGTGAATGGATGTACAGCAGAGGATCTATCTACCTGTTAAAAACTGGTGTGTGCCTTTTGGAGACATTCAGCCCACCCTCTGAATCCCTCCCTAAATTCTATCTTGGCATTCAAAGAGAAAACATGGCTCAATATGAAGAACAATGGACTGACAGAAGACAGTGAACTCTAATCCTCGCTGTTGAGTGAATTATTACGTATTTTTCTAAACTGTATTAAAAAACTTTCTGGGAGCTGTTAAAATGCTGGTGTTGGGAAGATGTTGAAAAAAGTAGTTTAATATGTCATCCTCTTTCAGATTTACAATGTCCATTTGTTTAACTGGTCTCTGACTAATCCTGACATAAAACCTATTTAATTTGCTTTCTTAGTCAAAATAACCCCTATAAACTGATTCTTTTTCTTTTTGAGACTGTTGCCCAGGCTGGAGTGCAATGGTGTGATCTTGGCTCACTGCAACCTCCATCTCCTGGGTTCAAGGATTCTCCTAACCTTATCCTCTCCAGCAGCTAGGATTACAGGCATCTGCCATCATGCCTGGCTAATTTCTGTAGAGATGGTTTCACCACGTTGGCCAGGCTGGTCTTGAACTCCTGACCTCAACTGATTTGCCCACCTCAGCCTCCCAAAGTGCTGGAATTACAAGCATGAGCCACTGTATCCAGCCTAAATTGACTCTTATAATTCAGTAAGTTATTAACATATAATGTCTCTATGCAATGATTCTTTTGAAATCTGATCCATTTAGGAATGGTCTACAGAACAACCAGTTCCCTAGTAGATACCCATCCCTCAAAAATGGGCAGATTTTAAAAACTGCTTTTCCCTTTTTTTTTTTTTTTTTTTTTTTTTAATAAATTTAATTTTTTTTTTTTTTTTTTTTTTTTATTTGGTTATTATTTTTTTTTTTTTTTTGTTTTTTTTTTTTTTTGCTGGGCTTCAAATTTTTTTTTTTTTTTTTTGAGATGGAGTTTCACTCTTGCTGCCCAGGCTGGAGTGCAATGGCACGATCTCACCGCATTGCAAATCTCTGCCTCCTGGGTTCAAGCAATTTTCCTGCCTCAGCCTCCTGACTAGATGGGATTACAGGTATGTGTCACCACTCCTGGCTAATTTTGTATTTTTAGTAGAGATGGGGTTTTTCCATGTTGGTCAGGCTGGTTTTGAATTCCTCACCTCATGATCTGCCCGCTTCAGCCTCCCAAAGTGTTGGGATTACAGGCATGGGCCACTGTGTCCAGCCTAAGATGGAATTTTGCTCATTGCCCAGGCTGAAGTGCAATGGTGCCATCTCTGCTCACTGCAAACCTCTGCCTCCCGGGTTTAAATGATTCTCCTGCCCTAGCCTCCCAAGTAGTTGGTATTAGGTGCATGCCACCATGCCCGCATTTTTGTATGAGTAGAAACGGGGTTTCACCATGTTGGCCAGGATGGTGTTGATCTTCTGACCTCAGGTGATGCTCCCGGCCTCGGCCTCCCAAAGTGCTGGGATTAAAGGTGTTAGCCACTGTGCCTGGCCTTGTTTTTTGAGACAGTGCCTCATTCTGTCGCCCAGGCTGTTCTTGGTGCAACCTTGGCTCACTGCAACCCCAACAGCCCAGGCCCAAGTGATCCACCCACCTCGGCTTCCAGAGTAGCTGGGATTTACAGGAAATGTGCCACCATACCCAGCTAATTCTTTTTTGTCAAGATGGGGTTTTGCCATATTGCCCAGGCTCATCTCAAGCTATCTGCCCATCTCAGCCTCCCAAAGTGCTGGGATTACTGATGTGAGCTACTGTACCTGCCTTTTATAATGTCATAGTTTAATGGCTGGGCAGTATGCCAATGAATCACTGATTTCCAAAACTCAGACACAATTTTTTTTTTTTGTTTTTTTTT